CACACACACCACACACACACACACACACACACACACACATCATTACAATTACATCATTTTAGTTGTACGGATAACTTCCAACCTCCCTCACTCATTCAAATTTCAGGCTTGGTTAAGAAAATCCCATTATTTCTATCAGAATATGAGCTGCAGCTGCCCCATAAAAGATAAAAATCAGACTTGAGTTGGCGAGCTCAGTTGAAACAAATGAGTTTCTATTGAAAACTGTGTCCTCTTGGCTCTAAGACAAATGTACAGAAAGTTGTGTTTGCCCACAGCGCAGCGACTGCACTTTCCTGCTTGATCTCATGCCAAATAAAAAGCGGCTCCTTTCTGTCATGACCTCATGCTCAAATACTTACCAGCTACTGAACAGAACCCCCCTGCCTACAGGCCCCTAATTTTATTTTTCTTAGTATGAACTCCTCATCGATCAGGGCACACATGCAAGACATGTTTACATTATTTACATTGGTAAAGCCATTATTTCAACAATACAAATACAGAAGTATGTTTTGGATAAATATTCTCCTCTGACTGAATACTTTTTGGATTTATCTTTATTATTTTTATTATTTTATTGTTACAATCAAGGGCATCATTGATGCTGTCCCCCTCAAAACCCTATTTTTGTCTAACCTTATCTAACCCAGCTGAAAAAAGTGTTTTCTCCTCTGCAAGTTGTGAGAGTAAAATAATACTTTATTATAGTTTTTTTTGTAAATTCTCCTAAAAGATATTTGATATTTTGTTTACATTTCATATATAGAGGTTTAACATTGGGTAAAGTTCCAGTTATGTACCTTACATTTGTTTTATTCATTTTAGGTTTTTTACAGTTCAAGAAAGTCCATTGTTTAATGGGTCAGCGGAGGGGATCGGGTCATTGCTAAAGATTATTCTGAAGGGTCCATCAGAAGAAAGAAAAATACATAATAATGTTTTACATTCTTTAGATTTGTTTCTAAACTTTGTCTTTTATGTGAATATATATTTTATGTCAACTTTTTTCTGAAAGGTAACTCGTAACTATAGCTGTCAAAAAGTGAGAAGTATAAAGTCACACAAAATGGAAACACACAAGTAAAATATTTGTATAATACTTTAGTAAATGTTCTTAGATGGAATTAGGATAAAACAGATCCCAGAAAGAAATCCCTTTTACGAATCATAAAAACATAACAGATGAACAGTACTTCCATCATCCAGTATGAGACAACCTCGTTAACGTATTTGTTGCCTTTGGGACTCATTTTGACAGAAAATTCCCCTCAGAGCTATCTGTCAGATGTGGTGGCTTGTTAAACCAGGTCATGTTTCTGCTCTTAGGTTAAGATCACAGAAATTATTGAAAAGGTTTTTGCTGGAGGGATCTGCCACGGGGCCGATTCTTCCAGACTGCACCCCTCGGCTGCCAGTTGTCCCGCCTCCAACCTCTCTGGCAAGCTGCAAGACCTTTTCAAACATTCATGGTCCCAAAACCCTTACAGGGACTTCTTGTAATTAGAACATTTGCATGAAATGTGGCTTATTGGTGTGCCAAATAACTATGCCAGAGTGCAGAGTATTTAGTTTCAATTGGAAAATAAATAAGGGTATGTATAAATTAGCCAAATATGTAAATCCTATTGATGAAGCAGGATTCTTTCTCTGTGAAAAACAATACTTATTGCGGGGCCAAAAGTAATTATTGCACACAATAATAGGATATTGTCACGCTGATGCCTAATTCAATCTTTGGTGTGTTTTCCAACATTGAAGCGCAGCCAGACATCATGTTTATTGTAAAGACCTCAATGAAGACCAGGTTCACTCAAACAGGGCGGGAGTGAGGCACAGTGATTAAAGACCCATAAAAGTCTCTGGACATAAAGTAAAAAAACAATATAAAACATACCCAGTACAATGGTCAGAGATACATTACTGATGTGTTTTCCTTCTGCTCAGTATAAAGAACAACCCGTTGAGTATGAAGTCAAGTAGAGGTTCATTTAATACCTTGTATTGTCAGGATTATCTACTCATGTAACGTCTATTCTAAGCAGTTTGAGATTTACTCAAACACTTCATTTTGAACTGTTTATAGTTTCCCTACCGTACATTTTCAGTTTTAGGCCTCGGAGACCCCAGCTATAAATCACAGCTAAACGATTTGAAAGTCTTATTGACCTTTCTGGCAAACAAACATGTTTTTGTCCATGCATACTAAATATGAAATGTAGCCTATCCTGATTTGATGTAATAATAATGGTTTATAGTCATCCAACTTTATTGCATGGGGTTAACGCTTCATTACTTTTCTACAAAGTAGGCTTTAAAAAGCTTAGAGACATGCAAAAATATTATGGCCGTTTGTTATTGGGAATTATTACTTAAGTACGAAGGCTACATTTGCAGTAAGCACACAATTCGGACCTATTTCTTTATAACAGGTCACTTTGCACTTTGCTCATATATGCATTGCAGTCTGAAGCACGGAATTTCACTAAGCTGTTATGACACCTTCCGCTGCACAGAGGATTCTGGTATATTTGCATCAAGTAAAGCCAACTCTGTGTTAACTTGTTCTGCCAAACTTAAGAGTAGTGTAGTATGGGTATTAAAACAACGTCTGCCTACGTATGCCATTGCCTATATGTCACTCACGCCACATTTTATCTTGAGAGTAAAAAAAAAAACCTGACATTTTAAAACAACACAATGTGGTTTTCGGGATAGATTTGTGCAGGACATTTTCTTGGTAAGCAGCAGTGACTTCCTGCTGAGTTATGGTCAACACAAAAACCTCATCCGCTACCCCATGACCTCTCCTTCAGGTGAACAGCAAACCTCAGGACTTCTCGTAATTTTTAATCTTTCCAGTTTTTTTTTAAACATTCCTCTGTGATTGACCTTGGCAATTGATTATTTCCCAACAGAATGTAGAAAAGTAAATTAATATTGGTTAGTTTCCACCATTGAGTTCGCAGCTGTGTTTTGCTGCGGCCAAGCCAAACAGCTGAGCAGCTACCGGGCCCAGGTGCATGCTGGGGGGTTTCCTGACTCAGGCCCGGCTCTGCTGCCCCCAGCCTCAAGGTGCAGACAGAAACACTGTCTGGTTGTTTCTGATACAATAACACCTAATCAATCACCAGGTTTTTATTTTATTCAACATTTTGACATTGCAAGGGTTCATTTCCTTGCAGCTTAATATTTTAACACTCATATCCCACTACAAATTGTGGTATTGCCAAATCAAACAAAGTGGAAGCAACATGCCAGATGTTTGGATTCTTTAATGAACCTGTAAATAACTTCAGAACAGTGGCATTAAACAACCTTATTGGATTTTCAGACCTCACTATATATATTTTTCGAGAAATTGATGTTTACCGCTGTGGATAGAGCTTTAACAGGTTGGTTAACAGGCGTTGGTTTGATTGGTTGGCTCAGAAGACCTAAGACACGCAAACTGCCAAACTGTGATCCAGCCTTCATTTCCATGCACTCAATAAATATGTTTTAAAGGTCCCATGTCATGGCCATTTCTACTGATCATAATTCCATTGTTGAGGTATACTAGAATAGATTTACATTGTTCAATGTTCCAAAATCACATTGGTTTCTCATAAAGCATCTCTGTATAGTATGTGTATTCACTCTCTGTCCTAAACACCTTGTTGGAGCTCCTGCCCCCCCCCCCCCCTCCCTATGAGCCCACTCTGCTCTGATGTGTGATTATGTGTTACAATGGCGTTTGTTAGCAACCAGAAAAATGACACCAGTAATGACAAACAGATGAGAACGCTGCGTGGGGTCTGGGTGCCGTGTTGGCGGGACGTTGCGGGGCTCGCTGCTCCGCTCGAGGAGCGGACAGTGTGAGCTGGATTACTGGTCGTTTCCTGGTTGCTGCGTGGGGTCTGCGAGACACGGAGGAACTCAGCCTGAGCACACACACGTGAGTGTGTGGCGAACTGTGAGTGGAGATCCACGGAGCCGAGGCTGAGAAAAGATAAGGCTGAGTGAGTGTGTGTGTGTGAGGAGCTCCACGGATTGGTTCATTTGGACCTGGGTATCGTTACGTCAGTATACTCGGGAAGAAAAAAATGGAAAAAGAGAAATCTCCAACAAGGTGTTGTTCTGGGGCAGCATAGACAGGTATTTTCTGTGTTAGAGTTTTACTCGCTACAGGGTGTACTTTGAGAGTTTGTGACTTTGCAGACCGTTTACATGCAGAAAAAGCTACATAACACACAAGGGGACGGGTAATAACCGGAAAAGCATGACATGGGACCTTTAAGTCTCATTAATTGCTGATAGAAGTGTCAGAGGAGTTTGTATTCGTTTTTGTTAATCAATGCATCTCAAGAAACTAAGAGGTGACATTGGAAATCTGAATTTTTAAATAACAGGACGTTACTCAAAATTAAAATACTTAAAAACTTAAAAATAAGAATGCATGTCATTGTGGCCTTATTTTGTAGCGATGTGACGTTGTGATAAATTGACTCAAGTGATGGCAGCGTCTGTTGTGGCTGAAGAAGTTGAAGTTTGGAAATGCAGAAATTAAGAGTTTGTGCAGTAAGAGAGATGTGAGATTAACAGAAGTCTGTAGCCTCTGCTTGAAGTTAGCAGCTACATGCTACAGTACATTAGTTGGGACTAACATAATCCATTTAAACTAATCGAAACGTTGAGGATTGATTTTCATGTTAGGTCATGTACAGTAGACGCCATGTCAAATAAGAACAATCTGTGAATGTGCTGCATACTTTAGTGTTAAACCTTTTTTTCCTAACTGTCCATCAGGAGTCTGACAATGTTACAGGAGTGCAATGATGAATCAGTGGCATACTCTTAGAAAATCATGTTGTTGTGTTAATTGACTCACAATATTTGTGTGACATTTCATCAAGATGGACCTTAAATGGATGGTTCGGATTTTCTTAAATTGGATTGTATGTTCTGCAAAATGTGCACCTTAACATGTGCATAACAGGAAATGACTTCACACGGTGAGGTAGGGGATTTATTCATTTAATTTATTAAGATGCTACATAGTCCAACCAGGTTGGGTCTTTTTTATACACCAGAGAGACTACTTGAACTAGTAATATGAATCTTCTTCTCAGATAGACTTATTTATTTATTTATATACATACAAAACAGTTTGCCGACTGCTTACATTGATCACGGTGATGGTCAGAGACTCCAGGTCAGTGTAGTGTGTTTTACAACCGGGCCTGGATCAATTAGTATTGACATGTAATTGTTATTGTTTGTTTGATCCTAACTGGAGTGCTTAATATAATTCTAATGACAGTATATTATGGTACTGTAAAATGTTCTGAAACTCCAACCAGGATTCAAAGAACTAGAAGAATTATCTGTCAGTACTATATGACCCAGGTCTGATAACCCCAGATGGGACTGTAGATCAGGTCTGTCTGCCCTCCCTCTAAGCAGCAAGTAATCCTCAACCCAACAACTTTACAGAGATACAGTAGAAACACAAGCTCATGTATATTTTAACCTTTTACTTCACAATCATATCCATCATATCCCCCTCCACCTAAAATGAAAATATGGTGGTGTTATGTATTTTTCTTTCACTTAAAGAAAGGGTAATGCATTCTGAATCTCATGTGGATACAGAGGGAACTGCTCTTTATTTCTTCTACACTCTCCATTGCCTTTTCCCCCCTCATGCAAATTTGGAGATGAAAAAATGTGAACGTATGTTTCGGTTTATTTTTGACCAAGACATAACCATCGGCTCTAGAACAGTACAATGTGATCATGTGGTCCCCTCAAGGATATAAGCTAGGATGTATGCCCCCCCCTTCCTCTGGCTTGAGAAGAAAATCAAATGTTATGCTGCAGGAAGATCAAAGGAGAGACACTCTTAATCTTAGTGCATTAAAAATGAATATGACTTCAAATGCAGTGAGGGTATAACATTAATAAGCAACGGATAAATGCTGAACAAACACCAACAAACTAAACACAGGCCTGCAGTGGAGTGGAAAGAAAATCACACAAAAATCACCAGCAGCAAAGAAACTGGAAACACTCAGTTGATCTCTGACATACATTTGCCCCAAACAAAACAGAACGTCAACAAATGTATGGCTCGGTAGGAAAATGTGAGAAAACAAAAAAGAGCTGGAAAAGACCAAGGTCTCTTTGAGAGGACACTGAAACAGGACCTTGGTGTTGTTGATGCTGTAAGGGAAACACATAACAGTCACATGCACCTCCTGTCCACTCTTATTATATGTATGCATGCTTTCTCTGTGTGTGTGTATTTCTATATATATATATATGTATATGTATATTTATGTACTGTATATACCTTCGTCTTGGCCTGAGAATAACTTGCCCAAATAGGTCACAAGGCAAGCCGTTTATCTGTTTAACATGTACAGAAATCGTCCTACAAATCTGAAGTTCATCTTTGTAGCTGCAATATCCTTAAAAGCTTTCACCCTAACAATAAAATAATTAATCATAAAAATCCAACAAAGACAGAAAGAAACTCTGAAAATGAAGTTGTGCAAACCTACAGCCAAATGACATATTATAAATCACCATTATAAAAGCAATTAAATTAGATTCAAAAAGTCCAGATGCAACTCTGTGTGTGAACGCATGCAATCAAACATCCCCCCTTCTGACAACCGGGGGTGTGGTGAGCAGTGAGTGACAGTCAACGGGAATAAAGGTAGGAGTGAAAATAATAAACAACACGAGGAAAGAAAATACGAATAGTGTTCACTGATCAAAGTTGTTCGACAATCAAAGACGAGCCGATTTGACAAAGCCTGTGATTGCAGGAGTCAGTTTGATAGCCCTGGGTGTGGATCATTCCTCTGGAAAATCCCTTCCTTAAAGGAGTTTTAGCTGGAAGGGACACCTGGATATAGTGTGCAGTGTGCAGTGTGTGTGTGTGTGTGGGGCGGTTACGTATACATATACATCGGCTCTGGCCTCCGTCATTTAGAAAAAGAAACAACAATACACTAAAATGACATTCACACACTTTCAAACTGACTCAGTCGCAGCAACACTACCTCGCCGGTGTTAGAAAACTGGTCTTGATCACTTGCATTAAATCATGTTTCCATTACTCCCCCCCCCACAGTCATCTGTATACATGAAACTTTGGGAAAGAGGGCCAGAATGACTATGTGATGTTTACGTAGAGGCAAGACCTGTAACAGTTGGTTTGTTCTTTAGATGATGAATGGTTTTTTTCTCTCCTTTATTTTCTCATACATTACCTTTTAAAATGTTACATAAATGAGACTGAATCAAAACTAGTACCACCCCCCACCCAGTGGATATGGCATTTCTGATCCAAAATCCCAGATCCCGTGTTTGATTTCTTCCCCCTGAAAGCATGCTGCGGCCCGACCGAACTGCTGCCATCTACAAGACCAACTTGCCCACGATGACGCCCACCACAAAGAAGAGCACGATGAGGGCCATTGTGCGGGCGCTCAACCCCTCGTCTTTCTTCATGCCAATTGAGGTGTGCTGGGATGACATCACGTTACTCTTCCTCATCCGCAGACCATCGTCCTCCTGAAACAGGAAGAAAAAAAGTACGCGGAGTAAGCGGGATTCTAAACTAAAGCCACAATAAGAAGTGAAAAATATTGTCATAATCTGAAACTAAATAAAAATGATATCCTTTCAGTATTAATAACGATATTGCCTGGCCATTTCAATGTTTGTGTTTTTAGCTAAAAAACGTCCCTATCACTAAAAGGAGATGGCATGAATTTCCATCAACCTAATAGCAATGGCTTCACAATAATCACAATTGTTTTTATTCTGTTGTCTAGTCTTGTAGTTTACTAACTGGGGTCTGGAAAAATGTTCTTCCTAGTGTCGTAGTAAAGAGTATACAAGTTGATTGCTAAATCTAAGATGTTAGCATTATGGCCATTAAAAGTAAAGTAAACAGTTCTCCAAAAATGTATTTTTCAATGTTCCGGATTTATATATGGCTCTCATAAAAACACTAAACTGGTCTAAAATTTAAAAAAAATAGATAAAAACTTAAAATGAAACTAAACTAAAACGATCAAACCAATCTGAAAATAAATAGTGATTAAAAATGTGATTAATAATAACTATATAAACTGAAAAATTGATAGAATAAAAGAAGAGGGAGAAGCGTGGTAGGAATGACGAGGTGAAGAAGAGAAAAGATGACATGTTTAAGAGAGACGGCCATCTTCTCAATCACTCAATTAGATTAAAAAAAGTATTTATTTACAAGCTCAAAGAAATAGGATCTGCTTAAATCTTCATCTGACACAATCCCCAGAGGTCCGCAGAAGGCGCCAGGCTTTAACACACTTCATTTCCCAGCAGCGGGTGGGGGGGGGGGGCTCTCTGTTAGTTTAATCTCAGCCACAGGAGCAGCCAACAGTCGTTCTGCCTCTGGCAAGAACTTAAAGGGGAGGAGGTGGCGGAGTGTGTGTGTGTGTATGACTTATTTTGAACTAAACCTTAACAAATCTCAATTTGAAACCCATACTTCACTGATTTGTTTCACGTTGTGATTGATGGCGAACTCATTGATTTGCAAAATTGCCTTTGTGGAGCTTTAGCGCCTGAGGTCTGCCACTGATTATGGATCTGAGCAGTTACACTTCACTCTAACCTCAATCTGGAGTTACTGTCTCTATTCAAAGAAACACAGCAAAGGGTGGAGGGACACCCCAACCTCATTTTGGAACCACCACTCTGTGTGAATCAAGTTTCCACTTAATTTGCTTATCTTGAATGGGAACATCAATCAGTATAAAAAAAGAAATAACCAAATGTGATTCTGGATGTTCAATGAAGTCATCTGCTAATTCTGGGGATTGAGATGAAAGAGATTTGATTGTTTTGCTCATTTAGTGAATTATCAGTTTCTCTCTGTATTTGAATTAAGACTGAAATAGAATTGGCAACTTGGTTTGAACTATACCTGCATCGTACAACATATTCAAGTCCTATTATTTTCAGTTATAGCATCTTAAGTGTGAATATTTATTGTTTTTCTTGGACTTTTATGATATGACACTAGATATCTTTGAGTTTTGGACTGTTGGTCAAACACATTTAAACATGGCAATTTCTATGGGACTTTACAATAAGCAATTTTCCCTTTTTTTCTATTATTATAGACCAAAATTACTTGATTAATCATGAACATAATCAGCAGACTTTATATATTATAACATCTGATGAACATTTGATATGTTGATTAATACAGTATCTCATATCTATTAACCTCTAAATATGCCCAGTTAATATATTCCATGCTTGTTTTCAGTGTTTTATTTTTTGGTTAAATGTACTAACTTAAAAATAAATCTATAAATGTATCTGAATGCGCACCAAGTGTTTAAAATAAGTAGAATCTCTGCTAAACCTTATGAAATATTAAGCGTGTGATTTAAACACTGGAGCAGATGACTAAATGATCAACACCATCATAGGTCAGCTTCTGTAATTATTTCAATAAGGTTGCAACTTCGGTTTGAAAAAAATGTAATCACCAGTTCACCAGGGCAGGTATTACCTGACAGTCTACTTTAATCAGAAGTTAGTATAAAGTTTGTATTGATTGGATGGATTGTGTCATTAATAGTCTACCACCTCAGCTAATGCCCTTAACAAAAAGGAAGCATCTTTGAGACTGAGGCTTCAGCGATGCCTTTGTCTTTACTGTTGTGAAAAAACAAAAATGCTGAACGACTGCTGTCCTGGAGTCATCTCACCCACCCTGATCTGTTTGTTTTCTTCCCGTAGCCTCTGAGCCTCCATCTGCAGCCTCTTGCACTCCTCCATGATCTTCTTTACCTCCCCGTCATCGAAGGTGGAGCTCATTGATTTTGGAGGCAGCGTGGAGGAGTCCGACTTCAGCAAGCTGGACGACATCATCTTGTTGGACTCCATGTCATGCTGTAAGTGAGTTAACAGGGCGACAACATATAACGCAATAAGTTCTCTGTTTGCTGATACAATGTTTCCATGGCAATTCTGACCATTGACTTGGCTGGCACTCGGGTGAAATTTCATATTTTTATTTGGAGACTTGCAGACTTTTATACAGGGACACAGAGCCTAGTTTCTAGCTTCCTAGCACCATGTTTGTGGGAGAGTTCACCCAGGGGTGCCTTTCATAAGTAGATCAAGCTGTTTTCTATCAGCAATATCTCCGTCTGAGGGACTCTGTGGTGCTGACTGGGAGCAATGTGTATGTATCGCACAGCTCAAAATGAATTGAAAACAACCACCATGGACTCAGCTCATATCGGGAAGAGGTAATGTATCTACAGCTGTGTGGGGTCCGATTGAATCACAACAATAATAAACTACATGTGAGAATGAACAAAGTGAAGATTAATGCTGAAACATAAACAACGTTGAGAAAATAACAAAAAATATAGAAGAAGAAGACAGTCGGTCAGTCTTAGAGTTTTCAAAGAAGAGGAGAGGTGAAGGCCGAGATGGGACAGGATAAAGAAAGAGAAAGCAGTAAATAGGTGGGGAGCAGGAAAACAACAATAAACATCAGAGGATTAGGAACAAGCATAGAAATGCACTCTACAGAAAGAAGCAGTAAAGATGCAACAGTGTGTTAGGTTTGCTGAACACCCGCAGCTTGATAGAAATTGAATAACATATTTTAATATCTTTTTGATATTTTGATCAATATTTTTTTCTCATTAAAAAAAAGGAAATTTTGAAAATCTCTATTTTGTGTCCAATGTTGTAGGATTTATTTAGTTAGCAGCTGTGTAATATGTTGGGTAATATACAAGGAGCCAGTCAAATATAAACTCCTCCTAGACAATATTAACTTGCTGTACATTCTCACTACTTGTGGTACTAATGCTTAGACACGTTACTGTGATTTTGAAAAAAGAATAGCAGGGAGCAATGTGACGCATCACTCCCTGTAGTGTCTCTGATCTGTGATCCGCAGTGACAACCAGAGCTGACGTGGTGAGGCGAGGAGAGAAGTGGTGTCACGGCATGTACTTACTGTTTTTTCATTCTCCACTGGCATGTCAAAAACACATCTCAGCTTGGAGTCCATCAGCTCATCTGGCTTAGCCTCCTTCCACTGAGGAGAGAGAGGACCAAAGATAAAGAAAAAGTCAACCAATTCATCATTTATATGTAATCAAGACCAAAGGGACCATTTGTAACAGACTGCTGATAATGGCTCTTTGCAGCAGGACAAAAACTTAGATAACAACCCTCATCGTTTTTGGCTATGTGACATATTAAACATTCTTTCACAATGTCTTGATTAAGAACCGATTTTTGAACTTACAAATAGGGTATCTGCACTGTACTATTAAATACAATATTGCATCAAATGTTTAATAACCAACATGCCTTTTTCTTTCGTTAAGTTCAATTCATGTATTTCATTGATTGATCCTGTGTCTGTTTTTTGCAATATACATTTGAAGCATTTGCAAACACTGAAGTTAGTAAAAGGAAAATGATGGTGAAAAGTGATTGTAGGAAGAAGATGCACTCACCACTCCCTCCATGTCGGTCATGTCAGGAGGTGCTAGCACGGACTGCACCATGAACTTGTGTTTGCTCTTCTCATTGGGATCATAGTCAAATGGCTGCAGCATAACTGAAATTACAAAAGGATAGTCAAGGTCACTTATGATCCTATTATAAAGTCCCTTATTTTAACTGACTTCACATGACAACATGTTAAGATGACGTATTTCCTTATTGACATAAGTTGCGCCCCAAAGTATGAACAGCAAGTACCCACATCCTTTTTTCAGTCATTTTGTTGTTATTATGAATCCTTCAGTTTTATTTCCCTTTTTGTCAATCTCATTCGGACCTACCCAGAGATGGAGTACTCGAGTCTTGGGGTGTTTCTCAATCGCGAGTAGCTTGCTTGGTAGCACATGTCTGCCGAGCATCTTGCTTCAGAAGCAGTCAAGAATACTTCCTGGCATTCGGAAAACGAAGTGTGGAACACGCTAGCAAGTGTGCAGGTGTGCGTCATATGAGAGGCCCCGCCTTACATCTTCCGCCACAGATTTGGGGAAATTGGTCCGTGCGCAAAGAATTGTGGGGATTTTAAGACCGCGGAGTCTACTCATGTGCAGCCTCGATATTTCTCCAAACGGAGTACGCCGGGCTCGGTAGATTTCCAAGTATGCTGGAGATTGGAACAGTACTTCGGCGGCACTCGATGACGTAGTATGCTTGAAATAGTGGCTCTGAAGCAGCTTTACTCGCGATTGAGAAACACCCCTGGACTCGGACTCGAGTCGGACTCGAGTGCCGATTTTCGGGACTCGCGCACTGATTGACGCGACTCGGACTTGGACTCGTGAATTCTCGCGCACGATGACTTGGACTCGGACTCGGACTCGTGAATTATCGCGTACGCTGACTTGGACTCGGACTCGGACTCGTGAATGTTTCCCCCCACGATGACTCGGACTCGACTTGTACATTGACCTCCGACTTGGACTCGGACTCGGACTCGAGCAAGTTTTCTATGGAGTCTGATGTCCTCTATCCTGGCGTGTGCACCGGCTGCGAGGCGAGTTCACGTACTGGGCCCCGCTATTCCAGTCTAAAGATGTCTAGAGACACACCCCGCATCGTGCTGTATGCTTTCACACATTCTGCTTCCACATTGGAAAAGAGCAGCGCAAAATGCTCTATGTGGAAACAATATTGAAGAGAAGGCTCCGTAACACATTACTCTAAACATCGAGTTCAGACATATAGGCTGTCTTGAACACTATCATCAGAGTAACGTGATCTAATCAATACATAAAGATTCAGCCGATAACACGAAAGCACATGGCTACTTAGCATGCAAAATGACGTCATTCTGGATGCTAAGTAGCCATGTGCTTTCTGGGGCTAAATCTTTATCAGTAACCGGTAAAAGTTCCTTCAAAATAAGAGTCCCGATCTTATTACTATCAAAATAAAAGTGCAAAACGAAAACTTTACCATAGGAAAATATTGGCATACAAATATAATCACTTCTCTAAAAGGTAACTCATTTTAAACATAGTTTATTTATATATATAATAATAATAATATTAATATTAGTAATAAGCTTTATATTTGTATAGCACCTATTACAAGAATTGTAGCCAAACTGGCTTCACAGCAGTTCAATAGACAGATTAGTATAACATGACAGGATAAAAGCAATGTAGAGGAGCAGCTACATTTCAACACATATATCCACGAAGATTAATACATGAAGACTTGTGACTCGGACTTGACTTGGACTCTTCTTAGGTGACTCGGACTTGGACTCGGACTCGAACACAGGTAATGATGATTCGGACTCGGACTCGACTCGGACACTCCGTGGGTGACTCGGACTTGGACTCGGACTCGACTACGACTCTCCCTTGGTGACTCGGACTTGGACTCGGACTCGAAGAGTGGTGACTCGAGAGTGACTTGGACTCGTGAATTGGTGACTTGACTACAACACTGGACCTACCATTCTCAGTAAACTGAGGAGAATGTGTCTTGTTAGTATCACTTCAACTGGGGCAGACAAGCAGGAATACAATTCAAGTTGTGAGTTAAAATCTGCCGCCCCAAATACAAAACGAACTCCAGCGTATAAGCCGATACTTTTCTTTGTCAGCAACTTTCCATTTTTCTCCCTTTCTCAACTCTGCGTCCACTCCTTGGATTAAATAGGAATTAGTGAGTATCAAATACCCATGTGTTTGTCAAAAATAAACTAGATCCTCCACGTCTTCAAGGCTCTGGGCTTGCCCGTGCTGCTCGGAAAAAGCGGTGGGGAGGATTTATTTCTAAGTTTGTGTTACCATGACGGCGAAACACTGACGAAACTGTGAATACCCCGGGGGGTAATCTTTCCAACAGCTTCCAACCCTGTCTGTTTCTTTCTTAACATTACATATCGCTCTAACAAAAAGCAGGTGTGGGGTTGGAATAGAACTTCAGCCCATCACCACATTAGTCCTTCCAGTGAGTGGTGTGTTATTTGATGTCCTTCCAATGACCGAGAAGGTATTTCAAAGCTGCAACGATGATTTACAATGATCACTTTCTTATGTCAGTATTCAAGTAAAGGGTGGAAGTGCAGAGGGGCATGAAAAGAGCTATTGATGGGTGATCTTTCTGTCTTTTGACTTTTTAAACGAGGGTGTAATTGAAAGGCATATTTTGACATCGGTACCAACTATATCTACAACGTCTGCGTGATTCTTTGGCTTCCACAAGAAACAAATGACCTCCTAATTTCATGGCCGGTGTAGCTATCGGGATGGTTTTCAAATATGGCACATGCCAATTTCCCCTAGAGTGGAAACCTCAGAGATGTAGTGCACCATTACAGCAATCAGAGCAGTTCAATATCGCAAACCAGAAACAGACGGCATGAACAGATTGAGAACGTCCTGTTTCAGTCAGACCCAATTTGCACGGCCATCTACCTCAGGTCCAAGGGGACGCCACGAGAGAATGGAGGCAGGAAGGCATGTAAGTTCTTTGAGCAATAGTGAATAACGTTTAAATGTAAGTTCCCCCAGAGCCAAAGCCTGAGATGGAAAGAGCCCTGGCACAGGGGAGGAAAGAAAACAATTAAATCATCTTTAATAAGCAGCCTTTGAACACATCTTTAATACAAAGCTACTTCTGCTAATGACATGATTTAGTATTCTTTCACACTGGGCAATCATTTATAAAACTCACAGAGGCTAATTGTGTTTAACACGGTCAAGCAGGATGGCAATCGCCTGCCTGCTTGTTGATGATAAATGGAACCATTAGAGGGGTGAGGGAGGGGGGCAAAACAACTTTTCTTTCCTGTCACTAATTATATTGTGTCCCTTGAGACTTGATGCTCAAACGGAAAAAGCACTAAACATTTACCTTGAAGTGATTACAGAGGTCCACCCATGGAACATAATGAATATAGGGTCTGCACAAACAAATTGTCTTTTTTCATTATCAATGCATTTCAGAACATATTTGAAATGTATCTTTCAATGTTTTGTTTTAACCATCAAACACCTAAATATATTACATTTATAATAAAAGGAAAAATTAGAAAAAGCAACAAATACTCATTTTATAGGGAATACTTCACCACCCAAAATACATTCAATTACAAAATGTAGTATAATCCAAGGGTAACAGGTTGAGTAAATGATACACACATTTTCTCTTTGAGGTAAAGTATTCCTTTAAGAAGCTAGAATTATTTAAATGTTTTAATGACATTTAACTAACTGATTAATTGATTGATAAACTAAGTGTTTCAGTTCTACTCTATAGCTTTGTTAGTGACAAAATGCATGGCTACAACCCATACAAAACCATGAATTTGTGACACGATTTTTCCTCAACACAAGAAACTTGACAGGAGAATGTGCCGTACATTTCCATTTCCAAGCATTATATCACTCAGTTTCAATAAAAGCATACAACATGAGACCTCATTTCATTTCCATGACCTATTTAAGGTGAATTCTCAGCATCATAAGAAAACCTAAACTGTGTTTGACATTAGAACAAAAATAAAGAAACTTGCCAAAAACAAAAGATGAGCGAATCTGTTTGAAAACCAAAACATGGAACTCATCAACAACTGAAAAACTAGATGTGAGGTTACGTTACATCATGATACATGACACCATACAGCTCATTGTTACTTACAGTCTATAGGGGTTACACCCTGAGCTATAACAATAGTAACCTTTTTACACCAATTCAGAGAAGCTTTAATCGTAAAAAGGGAACTCCCCATCTACTTTGTTCAATATTACTCAACACAAAAACCTGGCCAAAGATCAGCAGACCTACGGAGACAGTATAGCGTGGGAATGAGGAAGAGAGTGAAGTCGACCACTGTTGTTGGGGTACAGGCCTGGAGGGAAAACTCACCAGGATGTAAGAGCTAACTCATATTCAGGCTTCTCAGGGTAGCAGGATCTCACACTTCTGGTTTGGCTCTCCTGGGTCCATCTAATTCAATTTAATTCAAAAGGGGAAATAATACAACCTACCGTATATACTGTAGCAGCATACCTATTTTAGGGTGCGGAATACAGTCTATGGGAATAACCCAGGAGTTGACCACATTAATCCACCACACTTTTGCGGGAATCACCACTTAGAGGTCAAGTTATAGGAACGTAGTTGGTGGGCAAAAAAAAGGTTACAAGGCTTTTAAATATTAGACCTTGTGTTTAACATATTTTAATAATATTCTTTAGGAATTTGGACATAACTTAAGTAATAATTTACTTATAATAATAATAATTTCTTGCCCCTTCATGACAAAAGCCACACTAAAAATGAGTGTCATGGCAAGCTAATGAAACTGATTCAGTTAAAAAGGCAACACAAATAATTGTTATTCTTTTATTAAAGTATGTTATTTTTCTTTCTGCCTTCCTTGAAATGATAACAAGTCCATAGCATGTCAGACAAACTCAACTACTGACAGATTCCAAGAAAAAGCTTGATATTTGTGCAGTCATGACTTATTGAAACATTCACGCCACATTTCTTTCCACTGGATGCTGCTACAAAACACCAATCAGCCTCAGAAACATTCCTGTGGTCATGGCTACGTTGAACATATACAGTTACAGCTGGGTTGAGCTTCAAACGCACCGTGTGGATCCTCAGCTGAGCCAGCAAATGAAACATCTTGGGGTCTGAAGGTAACATGTAGGAGACTATCTTTTCTTTCCAGTGCAAGTGGCTGTCTGTGTAGCATTTGTTAAAAGTGACTGGCCAGATATACGAGACAAACTGGACAGAAACAAGTCACAGATCATATGCATTCCTCTTAAATGGAGAACAAAAACAGATATATATATTTATAAAACGGACAAGTCAAATCAAGCAATCTGATTGGTTCTTAGCCGTGGTATACTGAGCGTATACCACGGGTAGAATTGTAGTTACTTTTCACAACAAGTCAGTATCCCTCCGCGTCTGAGATAAACTGTATACAGTTGCGCTGAAAAGCAAACTGCTTGCACTTACTATGGAGGAGTGGATTGAGGAGTGCCTATCTCCAGAACAAAAAGCACCTAAACGACGACATGTAGAGCTACGTGAAGAGCAGGTAGACCAACTGGAAAAGTATCACCATTCAAAAGCTTTCTGATGCGGGTCTTGAAACAAAGCAGAGAAATTATGACCGTTAGTGGCCACAGGTGCGAAAGCTCTCTCCAGAGCTACTGGAAGCCGAATCTCGGGGACCGGAGAAAGTGGAGCAATATTCTCGCCACGCCAAGCAACAGCCTAGAACAACCTCAACCTATACAAGTAACCACGTAAGCCATTCTACTGATGCTGGACAGTTTTTCAGTGGGTGCACAATAAACGGCAACATACAAATGAATGTAAATAAATAGCCAAATAATGGATCAACGCTCTCTGTCTAATATGTTCGCTGGCTGTTGTTAGTGTTGTTGCATAGCAACCACCTCGCACTATGTTTTGTGCAGAAGGCAACGGAGGGACTATTTTATTTTGAACATCATTATTTAATAATAACAACTATTTAAATTAGAGTGTGTATTTTTCATTCATATTGCCACACTTGGTAACCGTTTTATAAAAGCAATAGCTCACTTCAGGCCGTGATATATGCTCATTATATCACAGTTAAGCGGGTTGTCGACCCTCCGATTCGCGTCGGGCCGAACCACGACCCTTAACTGTGATATAATGGCCATATACCACGGCCTGTCATGAGCTATTGCTTAAATATATTTGCCTGAATACCTCAATAATGATAGTGTAATGTTATTTTGGGAACTACTATTTGGCAACTATTTTCAGCATGTCCTTACAAAAAAACATGTTTTATATCTTATGTTGGAATGATAACCAGCAGTGTTTGTGTCATTCAGTTATAACAGTCCGGTGTTCATCGATGTTTATCAATTCATTTTACGAGTTTGTATACATTGTATGTGTCCTTGAAGTCTAACAAATGAGTTGAATGCAGTCTAGTTAAAAAGAGTTGTCAGGTGTCAGCAGGTAAGACATTGAATCTATTTTAGCTGTCTTTTGACAGCATTGAACATTTTTAAAAGAGCAAATTCTGTCCTATTTCCTAATGTCAAGGGACTCATTTGGATTTTTATTTTGAAGATAGTCAAGTTTTAAGATGCAAGTGATGCAATTTAATCATAGCAGTCAAACAAACAATGCCAATTGGCACAATGTGATTAAATTGCAGCGGTCTAAGCTCAACATTGGACCAATTTACACAAGATGCCCTTAAGTAATAAGTTGCCCTTAAAGTAATAGCACAATAGCTTAGCCATTTGGCATCAGACAGAGTATTACAAATTAAAATACATGTTTATTAGTTTACGAAGGTGTTGGTGCACAGACCTCTTGACTCTAGGTGGCATGGCCCGACATGTGCTGCTTTGGATATCTAAGTCAATTATAATGGAAACTGGAAACCACTCCTAACTTGGTTTGGAGCTGACATCAGAATCAGGGGTGTTATTATCAGGGGGATTATAAACCTGGGCATTCCATCAAAGTAACTTAATGTTAGTTCAATTTCAAAGCAAACAATGCCTGCAAGATACGAACCCACAGCGGCTTGTTATCCTGTTAAGCACACCGCTTACTGATTTCTCCCTGAAGACAGACTGGACATAAAGAGCTTACAGACCGTAGCCTTAATGTTTGCCTAATAGAGACACAATACTTAGAAAAGTAATCTCCTTTTGGGACTCAAACCTGTGACCTTTCTCAACCCTAATAAGAGTGAAAAATGAAGGTATCCGACGGAGCGGACTGGGCTGATTTGTCGCCCACTGCTGACTGGAGGCCCTGGTGTCTCGGTTCGCAGTTGTTGACACCAGATAGGAGAGGTTGTAAAATGAGTCTGTGGCTGTAAATGGCAGAGGTGGCAGTGTGGAAACACTAGACTGTACCTGTCTCTCTCAGAGAGCACGGCTGGGAATGAGGCCTGCCAGGCGGGGGGTGGGGGTGTACTGGGTAACGGGAGAGGACCAGTGTGTTTCGAAAAAACATGCAAACGCATTCAGGATACTTGAGATAAAATAGTTTGCATTCCTTTTCACAAAAGCTTTGTTTTTAAAATCAAGATATAAATAAAAACAGTTTTTTACAGAGTTGTTGACATTTAGAAGGCTTGAAGTCTGTAGCAACTAGCGCTACAAAAAATATAATTTCCATATCAATCATGTAGTCTTTAAAATCTCCACACAGACTCACACTGTACCATATATGCTATGCCTAAGTTCTGACCAAGAGTCACACAAAAAAGAGGCATCCAGAAAAAGACTGCACAATCCTCATGTTAGAGGAGCTGTAGCCAGAAATGGTCTATTAAACTTGTCATAAGACTGAAAAAACACCCTTTTAAAACAGTCAAGTAATTTGTCTTGAGATAAACTTAACATTTCCGCTACGGTAGCAGCTACATGTTTGTTGATAATCAGAATTGATTGGCCCCTTCTCATTCCTACTTCATCAATCATTACCTGAGACGTTGATTGATGTGCCTGCATCGAGGATTCCGCTGTTCGGCCGCACGCAGTAACGGCGCGGCGCTGTCGTCTTCACCTTGAAACACACATTTCTGTCTGTAGGGTTGGAGAGCTTGAGATTTGTGGTGACCACGTCTGAGAATGGACCTGTGAAGAAGATAAGGTGGATATGTCAAAAAACTCTGTAGTGATGTTTTCTTTAAGAAGATTATTCAATGTCCTCCAGAGACAAAATGGATCAGAAAAGACAGCTGAAGCCAAAACGTACAACTACACAAGTCACAATAAATGGCAACACATTATAAAGACATAAGTGAAATCTGGACGGAGATTGATTTACATTTTTATCATGGCCAAACACTCTCTAAGAGTTATGATCCAACACACCACACACATAAATCTCAAAATACTATTTGTCACTTGAATTGCGTGAATGCCAAATGGTTGAAAATAACACATGCACAGAATAAATCTTTCACCGACATACAAAATCAAACAAGCTCGTAATATGTGTGAGTGTGAGCTGTGCAGTCGGAAACATCCAAAGCAAATGAGTGTCCGAAAGGAGTGTCATCAAAATGCTAATTAATCATCCACTGCTGCAAAGAAAGCATATCAAATAAATAAAACAAGCAAGCTGGGGAACCTCTTTATATACATATAAATATTGATATAAATATAAAAGATCTTTGCCACAACAGAATATATTAGAAAAGTTTGCCAAAAATGTAACACAGATTTAACACAACAGAAAACAAGCTTCTCTAAGCTTTTAAATTAGATCACTGAAATACCATTGGATAAAGCATATTGTAAATATGTGACAAAGCCTAACAAGATGTGACTTCAATTATAGAAAAATGAATCTATTGCGCAGAATATGGACCTTCTGCTACAAATCTCCTTTATTTGACCTGACATTTTAGATAAACAGGGTTTCCCCGCCAATTCAACTAATGCAGCTTTCTAATACGTTTGACTGGAAGTTGTCCTCAATATAAATAAAGTCAGTCAAATTCTCAAATGAAAACCCAAAATACAGCATCTCAGTAACACACACTGATGAGAACTGGATTATTGTTAATAAATCACAAATGTAAACTGAGCCATCTGCTTTTTCATTTCACATTTCTCTCTGGATTGATTTAGACTACTTGATTAAGAAAAACAATTCCAGTATTAATTTACCAGAACCGTAAGAGTAAATGGTGTTTACAAATCTATAGATCAAAGATCTCTGCTACTGCAGCAACATAACCAGAATAGCTGATGCAGTTTGGCATCAAATACATGTAATTAAAGCTATCTTTGTTGATGCAGGTTGCATATCTCTAAAGCTTTCGGAAGACTGAATGCATTAAGATGAACAGAATGTCAATAACGCAGAAAGCCCTTACAACAAAAGCCACAGCAAAATGACACTGTGCTAAATCTATGAGGTGAGCTGAGGTTGTGTGAGTTTTTAACCAGACTGCAGCACTTCTTTTTTTAAGGTTTTCACTATACATCACTGTATCAACTACTTGTGCTGTACTATAACTGTCTATTCAATTGGCCGATTACAATTTTTTTTTCATTCTTTCTTTAACAGCTTCATCTTGTTAGTGTTTGATCATCTATATTTTTATAACATAATACATTGGTTACAGTGAAACAAGGTTTTGTTCAACCTTAGCCGCGTTCACACCGGAGTACTTTTCACCATACTTTTCGCGTTTAGTTCTGTTAGTACCCCTTATGTCGCGTTCACACCAAAAAGAGCACTTAATCTCGGGAACTTTTACCCACATTTTTAGTGCCTTGTGAGAGATGGTACTTTCCTGGGGGAAAAAAGTGCCCCAGTTCTGATTGGCTGGGCGAATTGCAAACCACGCCCCGTAAAACTCTGAAATGTTTTGTAGAGTCGCCATTTTATTATCCTGGCATTAGCATTAATAGCATTAGCATTCGCCCAGCGCACAAACGCAGAGAGACTAACTTATGGCAACACAAAATAAAACATGGGAGCGGTGGAGATGAGGAGGTGTCGGCGTTCTGGCGATTTACTCGGAAGGCTTCAGTAGAAGCTGCTGGGAGTCCCAGCAGCTTCTACTGAAGCCAGTCCCCAACTCCGGGGACTTCCGGCCGGGGACTCCGGGTGGCAGTATACGCCGTGAAGTTGTTTGCGGCCTGCCAGTAAACCCAAAGCAGAAGAAGACGAAGTGACGTCAGCGGCTCATTTGCGTAATCTTCCCTCAGGGAACTTATTCCGGTGTGAACGCGATCTGTACTAAATGCCCTGGGGTAATAAGTGCCGGGGCGCTGAGTGCCGGCACTAAATACGGCAAAGTACTTGGTGTGAACGTGCCTCTTGAGTAATGCCTAAGGTTGAAGGGGTAGAGAGGAATGAGGACATGAAGGAGGGGAAAGGTGAAAGGGAAAAACAGCAGGTTCACACGGCTGTGTGAAATCACAGAGTTTAGCCCTGCTATTCAGTCAAATACAGGGCAAGAATTCTTGAAATTCAGGTGCTGTTTACACGGGAACGAAACGGGTTGTATCTGCTACTTTTCTCTTTCGTATAGCCCCTTCGTTCACATGAGGCCGTAACGGAACCGCGGAAACGGACCCCTAAAACGATAACGAGTCCCAAGGTGTATAGATCTGCGGACGGAACGCTTTGGGGGGGCAAACGGCTCCGTGTGTACGCCCTATACGATAATTTCCTGATAACGATGAAGCCATAGCCCCGCCTCTCCCCACCTCTGCTGCTCACTGCTGTAGCATGGTCAGTAGCTACTGCTACTGCTACTGACCATGCTACAGATGTTAGTGCAAAATCTACAGCTCCTCTACCACAACCATCAGCAACAAGTGGACATGGAACTACATGAACTACATGTTGCTAAATCCACCGCGGAGAATAAACAGAAGGGCAACCAGGCAACCATGCTCGGGGGTCTTCTTCGCTGCTTTTGGTGTATTTTGTGGCGGAAGTACAGCGCCACTTACAGGCCCGGCATATGTACAACAGCGTCTCCAGCGGGTCAAGCGGTCTCGTATGAAGGAACACGTTTATTGAGCCGTATCCGTGTGAACGGAAGACTTTTTTGATATCGAATTCGGTTTGTTTGCGTTTCGTTTGCGTTCCCGTGTAAATGGGGCCTAAGAAACTGTGAGACAATTGGGAAACACATCTTTGTAACGTACTGTCTGGAGCTTCTACAATAAAGACAAAATAAAGAGACAAAGTGTGAGAGTAGGGGTGATTGCAGCCAATAAGTGAGTTAGCTAAAAACAAGACGTGGGCTGCGATTCAGAGGTTTATAGGCACCAGATAAATTCAGAAGTAAAGTTATTGCACGCACATTAAAACCCACCACAAAAGCAAGCAATCTCCACTTTGGTGTAAGGTTTGCTTTTCACTTTAGTGGTAATGACATTAACAGATATGTCAAAACTGTTGGATATGAGTGCTTTTGCATGTACCACTGTAAAACAATAAAAAGGAGCAAAACCTAATATGGGCAATGCATTGACCTTGGAAAAAGCCAAGAGTGTAATGAGTCTTCTTTGATATTCTCAGGACATTACACATTACTGGAAGGGGTGCAAATTCCAACAAACCTCATTATATGCAGCATCACTAGTCCTTAGTATATTCTATTTTGGCAAAAGTTATCTTTTTATTGCATAAAACTGCATATAAAAATGTATTTAGATAGCTGGCAGCCGTTAGTCACTGTGTTTTTCCAGGAAAGCTACCTCTAGAGACAGCAAAGCTAATTCATGGTCAAGTGAGTAAGTCTTAACGAATACAGTGCCAATACCACAAACTTCACAACGGACAGACTTACGGAAACTATAGTCATATTGGAACTTTACTGTATTGTTAAAAAAGCATATAAAACGTTCTCTATGAAAGAGAAATAGATTTATTTGCGGCTATGTTTTCTGTTACTTTTGATATGGTGGATATCAAGATCTTATAATATCGTACACATGATAGTGACCCTCAGGTATATCAGTAGACAACTATAGGTTCTGAGCTTTCGAGACATTTATGGTCTTCTGGTGTTTATGTTTGTGACAATATTGTAAGAAAAGCCTAACTCATGACTACTGTGGGAGAAACTTCTGAAGCAACTGGAAACAGGACTCAGAGAGACACGAGGAGAGCTGGAACTTTGATGGCAAACACTGATGGTTTATTTGGAGCTTCGGCTGGAGAATTCACAAGACATGTCATGAGCCACGAGTTGACCACACGGTAGAGATGCCGAACCAATTCTGAATAACTCTTCTGTAGTTCCAGGTTTTAACTAGTTCAGATTGTAATAATCAACATTCTTTATCAGCGAGACTAAACAAATATGGACCCTGAATCTAACTAGAGCTGTCGTCCATAGAAAAGAATGTGCGCCAAGATGCCCCTCCTTAAGAGAGATAGCAGCAATACCCAAGGCCATAGACCTATGCCATGGGAAAAGAGACCGTGAAAGGAGAAAATTATGAACTGTGTCAAAGGTTGAATACCTAAGCAAATTATTCCCCAACAACTACCTAAAAGTGCTGACAATTAATCAATTTGTTTACCAACTTACAGTTATCTAAGTAATATTTTAACTTGTGACATGCTGCAATTACAAAAGACAAAATTCAGCAAGCCAGGTTTTTCAATCAGGTAAAGTTTTCTCTCAAAATAACAAATGAGGCCACTACAGTAGCTATTATTGTGAGAAAAACCTTTAGTGCTTGACAGAGGCCCACTCTCTGTGAATGAAAACATGGAGCTATTTCAGAATTAGCACATACACCAGATTCAAGATAAAGTTTCAGCTCAGCAAACATCCAGAGCAACTGACACTTCCCTTCCCCTTTGAGCAAAGACAGAGAGGAAACTCAGACCCTCACAAGCTTGGCGTTACTTCAGAAGAATTTTAATGAAAGGGACTCACGCCACCGACTACTGTACACCTGATATACTACTTCCTGAAAGTGTCTGGGGATACCATCCAACTCACAAAAACCACAAGCCGCAGTTAAAAAGTATATGAAGAGCTAATGTTTGAATCTGTCATCTTTCAAGGATACATTTTATAAACAGCACATATAAAGGGAAGAGCAGGGAGTTAGATTTTTTAATAATACTCCTGATTAAGATGAAGATTAACACAAAAGAAAAAGTCCAGTTCTTAACACAGATGGTCTGATGCCTAACAAGCTGCTGCTAACATACCTCCTCTCTATTTCCTGAAGTTTCACAAACCCATGCCTGCATATAACTTGGGGTCTGAGTTACGCCATGTGAATTGTTGTATTGTGTGGTATTCTAAGAAGGCACAGAACGTATGAGTTTGTTGCTCCTTTCTCAATGGCTGGTGTGTCCATGTAAATCATATGATGGAAATCAGGGTGCAAGGTATATTAAACTACAGGTAACCATAGAAACAGTGCCTCTGCTTGGTGCCAAGCAGGCGATATTCTCATTTATCTTATCTTTAACAAATCCCATTAAAAGACTTAAACCAATAACAATTTGATCCTATTAACTATAAAGTATGGTCTTTGTAGTCTGCTATAGCTTAATCCTCCAAAACATATGTTAAATACATTAGCCTTCGGCTGCAGGGCATGTTCCTTTATAACAATGAACTTAGTTTATTTTGGGTCAATCCTGCATCGTCCTGATGCTGCAATTACTCACAAGCACACATGTGTATTAACCTGTGGATTAAAATGCTCAATACTTGTGTACTCTTTTAGAGGTTTACATTATATGTGAGGAATAATTAGCTTTAGGCAAAGATTGGCAGACAGGGCAGGGAAAATGAAAAGTTATTGACGGACCTGTATTGAGGTCCATTTATTGGATTGTAGACAATTTTTTTTACAATAAAAACATTTTTACACTCTCAATGGTCAATCAAACCTACCCACAGGTTTAAGTGACTGACTACAAATGCAATGTATAACAATTTGAACATAGTTGCTTCTCTTTTTTTGCCTGTTGTTGCAGTCCAAAACTTACGTTTTTTTCCTCACCTGCCATAATGGCATTTTTATCCATAGGCCATTCAATTGTTTTGTCTGTCCCTTCTCAATCTAACAATGAGTCAGTTGTACAAGGCAACGGTAGAAACATGATATGTCATTTAACCTGATCCCTACCTATTTCTAACGTACTTGCTTTTAACAATATAACAAGCCTTGATAAAAAAAAGATATATACTGAGGCATTATTTGCCTCCGCTTTGTACAAAATGTTCATAAATCAGGCACCTCGTTGTATATTTTTACTAATGCAATATACAGGCTCAGTATAGAGAGCTTAATAGAACTCTGACACTTCATTACTGCTATAAAGAGTTAAATACCTTTATAATTTGCCATTACACTGTAGTCATAGAAAATAAATGAGTAAGGTAACACCATCTGCACATTTAGACATAAGCATTATGCTACTTTAAATTGGCAGTTCACATAAAAACACAGAGGTGTGAGTTACCTAACACTTTGGTGCTGCTGGGTCTTTTAAGTGTAATGTTGGTGTGCTTAAGTCAAACACCAATGGCCAAATTGCATTTAGCAAAGAAGTTGCAAAATACAAAGTGCTTCACAGAGAGAAAAATACAATTTCAAATGAATAATAAAATACACAAAAAGCAACATCAGGATATGCTTTCAAAAACAGTACGTTTTTAGATGAGACTTAAAAGGAAGACACTGACTGAGACAGCCAAGCACAGGGAAGAAGTACACAATGTACTTGTCAAAGTTTTTTATTTAAAACAAGACTAATGAGTACAAGTTTGGCCATGTATTAGAGGCTAACTGTCATTTGAACCATTCATAGACGTATACAAATATCTAGCTTCAATACTCAATAGTAAAATGCAATATTTAAAATGATGGCATGATCTCTGTAATCTGTTGCAAAACAGATCAATTAGTATCATATTTGTTTTTGTAAGAGTATTTAGGCCTTAAGCAACATATTTTGGCCAAATGTCGAGCTTAAATCAAATGTCTAATAGCGTATGTAAAGCCCTAACGATAAGGAGGCTTGGCATGTTGATGATCCGTAGCTTACACATATTAAGTAGCTCAGGTTCTGCAGTTATTTCGTCCTGAGAGCTGTCAAGTTATTAAATGACAGCTGGCTGTCCAACAGAGCGTGACAGCCAATCAGAGAGCGTGCTAATGTTGGCTAGCTGTAGATGCTAAGGATGTTGTAGCTTCTGTGCAACGAAAGGTTATGCAGAAAATAGGTTGTCACATACATATCATGGTCCCTATTTCCATGGACATCTGTTTCGTATGCTGCACGTGTAAACAGCTTAAAAACAGTTGCTGCAGCAGAAATGAGCAACAAGGCCTGGCTAGGCTGATTAGCCGACAGAAGCTAATCCAGCTAGCTAACCAGCTAGCTAGCTGTCAGTTGACCTGCCGTCCTTTCATTCTCTTTCTTTTCATACGAAGGCAAATATTGTCAAAATGTGAGGTCCAGCTTCCCCCCGGCTTGGTTAACGTGCTGGCCTGCCCCCCTCTTTCTAGCCCCGCTGGCAGAGGCAGCTCCCCCCTCCCGTCCAAGCCGCCGGGCCCTCCCCTCTCTTACCTCTGAATTTCAGTTCGTGCTGAGGCTCCAAGAGCAGAACCTGTTCCGGCCTGGCCATCTCCCAACAGCTGGAGGAGCGGGGTTATCTCACTGCAACCAGGTCCTGTCTGTTACCCCCGTGTTAGGATGTTGTTGCAGCGTCAATAAGAGTTGTTTTATCAATGAATTGTCTGTGGATATCCTGTCCCCCCCGGTCACTACTCGAGCTACTAACGGCTGTTGTGATGCAGCAGGAAGGGAGCGAGAGACAGCCCGGTGACGTCACTGCCTCTGCATAGCCACCCAGCGGGGAGGGTGACAGCAGGGTGATGATAGGCGATGATGGGTGAGACCAGGGTGCTCCCCCTCAACCGATGTGAAGGGATAAGGTTAAAATATGTAGGTTTTTATTTCAGCCCACAGCTTCTAAGTTTAGTTTGAAGCAGTGATGGATTGTTGAAACTAATTTGATACTGTATGGCTACCTCCTTGGCTCGCTTGTAGACTTGCATTTTTCTTCAGTATTTAATTTTCATGCTACTTTTACTCAGCAGAGGTAGATGTATTCAAATATTGTAGTACTCAGATATTTGACAAATAATTGCACAATGTAGAAATACAAACACAGATACATTCCTTCATTTAAAATTGTACTATATTAGCATCACAATGTACTTACAGAACAAAAAGTAAAAGTACTCATTCTGTACAATGGCCAATTTATCACTGAATAATGAATGCTCCACTAATGTTCATTATGTACATGTACAGATAATGAAGGAGAATTTTTTTATTGCCAGATTCTAAAATGAATTCATAAAGTTTTATCTTATATAATAAGTAAAATCCTTATGCAGAATGTACCATTTCAGAATCAATAATCCTAAATTATAACTGATGCAATCCTGTGTCGCACTTTAATGTTGCAAGTGGAATAGCTGGCTTACTTTCAGCAACTTTATATATTACTGGGTCTCTTAATCTATTGCATCATAATTTACTGATCCCAACCGTCTTTGAACAGTGAATATACATTTTAACCATCAAATCGGAGATACATGGTTCCACAAGCACTCTTTTGTGCACCTGTCAATACTAAAATGATCAATAGTTAAATTCCAAGTAAAATGTACGTCTTGAGCCTTCACGTTGTCTTCAGTGACTTTAATGTCTGTTTCCTTGCATCAGTATTTGTCCTTGTTGATGTTGCAAATGGAGCTGCTGTGATGCAGGAAAAATGGCAGACTTAATCTGACAATAAAGTAATTTCGTATCATTGTCGCATCATGTAAAACATGTCAGATCATCAGTTACCATCTCTTCCTCCAATGCACACTTTTGTTTTTCTTCATATCCCCATAGTAACAATATATTCACAAGACATTTTTCTTCCAAATGTTATGACAATACTGCATGTAATCTCATAATGAAAACACTTTGTAGATAACTTAGCATGGAAAAAGACTTGGCTCTGAACTAATAACAAAATAAGGTTTCTTTCAAATGTATTCCTACTTTTTATAAAGTGCATTGCATTTGAAAAAACATTTTGTTTTCATTTTCAATAGATCATTTTTTGGCAGCCTCAAAGATAAATATGACTTTTTAAACATATTTCAAATCTTTTAGTGCAATTTTCTATAATATTTCACATTAATAAATTCCTAGCATCTTGGTTTTCTTAAAGTAAAAAATATCCTTGACTTAGTTTGTTTTTTCATATAAGATAAAGACCACCACACTATATTTACGGTATTAATAATTATTTGATGGTACGATTTTGTATTTGTCTCAACAAAAGAAAAAAAACACCTTGATAACATTGCAATGGGCTATAAAGGTGCATAATGGATTTTTTTATCAATTACATTTTCTGTATTTTTATTGCAGAACAAAAACAGGGTTAGTAGTTATGAGTCAAATTTAGTGGATCAATGAACCAGCTTGCAAGGGCACATGTTATTATTTACACCTGTGTTGACAGGTTAACATTGTTGACAGTTAAAATCTGACATTGTGAAACACTCCCATGTTGTCCTGGATAGCAGCTCAGCTGTACGCCAGAGAGTCAGTTTCATTTTAATTAATTTAATTAACCAATTTATTTGTCACCTGTCAAGCTCCAATGTTATTTCCAATCTGCCATGTAATGGTTGATTATAGTAGTGATACCTGGTGAGCCCTTAATTGTGACAGTTGTAGTTTATAGCCATACTTTTCATAATTTTCTAACATGCTTTATAAAGAAAGTGGGGTTAAGTGGGGGAATGGGAGGTTGTGTTCTGCCCAGCCAGCACTATTCAAAGTGCAGTGAAAAGCCCTCTGCCAGTCAAACACGCATCTCAAGTGTCATATTTATATTTATAGCCAGGCGTCTGTCTGCCAACTGAACAACACCACCAATCACTAACAACATTGTCAATGTATCCCAGAGGAACAACTTAATGCAGACATCTCTATTGGGCCCAACACCAGGGAGTGAGAAACTTGGAGGAAATTCACACAAGACATTTTTGTCAATCTTTTATTAGTAAACAAATTGACAATTCCCTTTTTACAGATTTGGAAATACACTGCAAACAAATGTTTTCAGGCATTTTGTTACAATCAATATGAAACATAGTAAAACGCTAAATATGGTAACTACAATGCTGATAGAATTACTAGAAACAAAGTATATTGTGGTCACACAAGTGGCTTAGAATAAAGACGTTGATTTATGTGCAATGAGATGGAATATTTCTACACTGAAAAATATACATAATACAGAATAATGACATTCCCAGGGCCAGCCCAAGACAATTGGTATTTTTCAATGCAAAACTAGCACACATTTCATATCCATGCCTCCTGTTTACAAGGAGAAACATATGTCATTATGAAACTTCAAATATTTTAAGCATGTATGTTATAAGCACTTTAAATCATAATATTACATTGACAGTTTAAAAAAAGGATAATTATGCAGAAAATATTTGGCACCGTGTTCTTGTTAGAAATAAGAACTGTGCAAACAGTCAAAACCTAAAATAACATTGAGATCATTAAGAAGTCGGACATTGTTAAAAAACGTTTCATCAAGAGTTTTCACACAAATAAAAAACAGAAGACTGATTGATAATAAGTCATACGGGCAAATGAATAAGTCAGTCAAAGTGCAGCTTTCAAAGCACCAGAGTCATTCCCTTTAAATGTAAGTTTGACCTAGAATGCCACTCTGGTTTTAAAACATCACACTGCTCATTTCAAAGAGGTCATTATCATCTGTTCTACACTGCTGGAATGAGATCACATTTTCTGCTCTGCGGTATGAACATCATCACTCTGTTAATGTTTTATTTTCTTGGATTAGATCACATTTTACCTTGTCATCATAACAACTATTGCACTCCATGGAAAAATCCTTAAGAAAATAGGCAGCACTGCTTAGCGCACAACTCATCAATAACAACTACATTTAACATGCGTAAAGGCAACAAAAAATAAGGAATGCGCTGACAGAAGAGAACACAATCCAAATGTATAAATGTGGGAAGGCTAATTAAGCCCACATCTGTTTTTTGTTGGCAACTTTAGAAAGAGGTTTTGGGGTTAAAGAGGTTCAAGAGATACAGAAAAGCATGAAATTACACAGAATTAATAAATCTGTGGGGGCTCATGATTTAACTGAAGTTCAATTAGGCCAAAATAGGAGTTAAACTTCTGTAACATAGCATTAAGGATCATAGAGTATTGGGATAATAGAGCTCTGTGAAAGCTATAGTGTACCACATCTGTTTGAAACAAAACGAAAGCTGGACCTACAATAAGTGCCTGGAATTTAGAGGAAGAAAGTAAAAGATGATGGGAGAAATGTAAATCAGAAGAAAGACCTTGGAACAAAGCGCATACAGTAATTCGGAGCAGCATGGAGAAAAAGGTTCATTAAGGGGTCAGCATGTTGACACAGTGCCACGTCTGATTCTGCACCTACAACCTCACTGAGGGGAGATTTAAGCTCAAAAATCGGAGTTTCCTCTAAACGAGCTATAGCTCTCCAACCTCAATGTTTTCATCGCAGGCCAGGTAGTAAAACAATACTGCATGCACGAGCCTCTGCTGATTACGTGCAACAAAAAGAAGAAAGATAAAAAATGTTTATGGGTCAATTACAGATTTTGGCAAGACCTCACAGAAATCTGTAAAACTGTTGAGAAGTAGCAGCAAAGGATTGAGGACAAGCATGCTCGCCAGTTTAAACAAAGCTAAAGTGATATTGTGAAACAACTACACTGTGTGCACGACAGGAAACTGCATATACAGGATTCAGTTATTACCTTTTCAGTAATTACAAGTTGATATGTGGGGAACAAGTGAGCAGCTGGGACTCTTGAAGACTGCGACAGAGTCAGCTGGAACAACAAAGTCCACAATTAAAAAAGAAATAGTTGGTTTTGGGGGATACGCTTTTTCCCTTTCTGCCTGAGTGTTAGACAAGCAGAACAATACAAAGCAGGAGGGTAAACACCTGGCTCTGTCAGATACAACGTAGTTATTAGTGAGCTTTAGAGGGGCTGGTTGACAGATTTCGCTGCCTTTGGACGGAGCCAGGCTAGCCGTTTCCTCCCTGTCTTTATGCCAAGCTACGCTAACCGGCTGCTATTTAGTGCTTAAATGAGAATGAATTGAAATTCTCATCTCACCCAAGGCAAGGACAAAAAACACATTTCCCAAAATGGCAAACTATTCCTTCTATATAAAGACATTAGGCTCCCACAATCCTTTTATTTATACATGTTACATCAAAGCACCCATTAGGTATTTGGCCTTGAAAGACATCTTGATTAAAACAGCACTCACACAATAAAATCGATATTTAGCGTGCAAAAGCTGTCCTACTTAAATCACCAAGATCCATTTAAATATCTTTTGAAAAACCTATGATTAAAGGCAAGTATAAAAACTTATGACTAGCATAACTTTTTCTCCAAACTGTTTTGATAAATTATTGATAACACATGTTAACTATAAAGATGAATCCTTCACAAAGTTAAGAATGTTTTGGGAGAGACATCCCAAAAAAAAGGCAATAACTTCAGTGATATTAAAATAATTTGGTGAAATGTAAAGTCTATGTTTTGGTTGAAAGATAAAAGGTTTTTGACAAATGTACAAGATGTACAAATGATCTCTGAATTCATGAATCTGTAGATGTTTACTTCCTCTAATCAACCCGGGGCTATAATACACCAAACCGAGGTTGATATCCATTTTAGAAGTCTTGTGTATGT